CCGAGATCATTGTGCATGCCTGAGGATTCAGTTTGGTCCAAAGTATCCGAGCATCCTCATCGTTTCCCACAAAATACATATTCGACCTGCTGACTTTAATAGCCCATCAGCCTACAGTAGCTCCTGAGGCAGCTGTTTAAAACCCATTTCACTGAGTTATGAAAACTAAATCCAACCCCCTCATTCTGCATTTATGTACAGCCATGGACTGACCACAGGAGGGGTTTGAAGTGGCACTGAGATCATACAAAGCCAGCTAAAACCTTGGAGCACACGCCTGAGTAACCCTAAACAGTTCCCCGAACTCAGTGAGGCTTTCCAGGGGCGGAAAGGCTGAGAAAGACTTTGACATTTCACTGTGCTTGTACAACATAACTAAAAGAGAAGCTGTGAGACCCTGGTGCCAGCGTGCAAGGGTGGGTTCTGCCCGACCCGAGGGGCTGCACGCTTGGCAGGACAAGCCTGCGAGCGCACGTGCTGGATGAACTGGTTGTGAGCAGAGGTGAGTGACAGCCCCTGTTGTCACTGGTTTATTACAGATATAAGAATTTTCACCTTGCATATACCAGCACGAGCTGTTAAACATGAACTGTAGAATTCTAGAGCATACTCTTTTTTTCAAAGTCAGAATTTACCTTACCTACCAGAACAGCAATAAGCAGACTTTCCCAACTACTATCTCATATTGAATATGCATTTTGATTTCCATAAAAAGCAAGACTAGATCTATCACAGAAAATGCATATTTATATCCACACTGCAGATATTTTTAACACTCTGTTCTTTTTTAAATGGAATACACAAATAGAAATGTCATGTTTCATTCTCTATTACAATATACTAGTCTGGTGGAGAAGATTTTCAGGCTGGAAAATTCTTTTTGGTTGAACTTATGCCAGGATTAATCCCCTTCCAGTTAATCATTTACATGAATGGGTAATCTGCAAAGTTCATGCAAGGCCTGCAAACTATATTAATTACTAGAAACCTAATTAGAAATCAACAGAGTCAAAGGATCAGTGTTACTTCCATACGGTACCATCTGGTACAACGGGTCTGGAAGGCTCAGCAAAAGTCCTCGTTTCATTCTGGGGAGCTTCAATCTGAATATGTGTTGCTGGAGAGTGCAAGTTTATGCTGATATATGAGCTGCTAGTAAAGAATTTTTAGGGTCATCCTAAATGACAGCATCTGAGACCCTGTATTTTTAGCTGTTATTTCAAAATTTAGGGTATTTAACTCCACAGTTTTCTTTTTGAATATGATACCAATG